CACACACACACACACACACACACACACACACACACACACACACACATTATACAGAAGGAGAGAGAGTGAGAGAAAGAGAGACAAAGAGAGAGAGAGAGAGAGAGAGAGAGAGAGAGAGAAAGAGAGAGCGAGCAAGAGAGAGAGACAGAGGAATCGAGAGAAGATCAAACGAGATGAAAACAGGGGGCAATAGAAAGAAAAGACGAGAGTGAGAAAGAAACATCAGGGGCGAGAGAGAGAGACAGAGACAAAGAAAATGAGAGAGCCAAAGAAGAAGAGGATGAGATAGCGAAAGGAGAGAGAAAGAGGGAGGGAGAGAGGACAGAGAGGGGAAGATTTACGCGTTAGATTATACTCACGGCTAGCACGACGATGACGAGAAGAGCGGCTGTAGTCTTATTCATTTTTCTTTTGAGATTTTCACAAGATTTGCTACGCAAAGAAACAAAATCAGGTAAGCCAACGTTGCGACGCCGTGGACAACCCTCAATGCAATGTGTCGGGCATTATCAACATCGTCGATACTTCATCATACTGAATCGTATTGCTGTTCTTCGGAATACGGTTATTAACTAACATGGACTTTGACGGATGACGTAATTTCATTCAGTATGCTAGTATGCTGACAAGCATCTATTTAATGCCTGATTTTTTACATGTAAATAACTAGACGCAATTATACTACAATATACATAATATATATAGCAACTATAAAGAAACATATATTAATGTATAATATGTAAGGTGGAGCGTGTAACAAAGCCGTACGTAGCGTAAACAAACGCGCACATATACTGCTGCAACATGTTCTGCTAGCATCTATGACAAATACGACATACGCATATACGCTCTCATATGACACTATTTGTCATAGGAAGATTCTTCCTATGACAAATATTAGCGTAACAACTTCGTTCCGCTTCACAGCGGAAATTTACTGCTTGCGTTCATAATAGCGCTCCTAAACTTCTATGATGCGCACAACACATACAACAATATTTATCATAGGATGAATCTTCCTATAACAAATAGTGTCATAGGAGAGCGTATATGCCTATGTCGTATTTGTCATAGATGCTAGCAGAACAGGCTGACTGCTATTTCGTTTTTCTACTCTCCCTCTGATATCTACCACTAGAGGTATAGCACAATGTAACATGTACCACGGATATAAATAGTAGACCTTATGCATGAGACCAAGAGCACATAGACTAGTTATGACAACATCTACACACACTTAGGTGTAGGGAGACCAGACGGGCCCATACAAGTTTATCACACAGCTCTATATCTAACGGTAGCCAACTAAACACAGTTACCTGTATCTGACAACAACGACGGCATATCGGCTTACCTTGCTGGTTCTGCTTTGGGTGTGCGCGTGTGTGTGTGTGTGTGTACCGTAGGAGCCTGTTGAATACGATGTGACTCCTCTCCATCGACTCACCCTACATATATACCGGCGCGCTGTCGCATTGACCGCGCGTCTTAAACACTCTTCGTGCTCTCTTCACGCAGTGTTAAACTTGGTGACCCTGACTGATTTGCCCAGCACATCACGACGTCGTTCGCCATTCGCTAGTTTATTACCATCTTTGTTTTTCAGCGTGGGTGTCACGTAATCCGTCGCGTAGCGCTCCGTAGAGTGTAAGCGAGAGAAGGGTACGCGGGACGGAATCGGGCGGAACAAGGCAGCACTGTGTTTCGCGTAAATTCACGTCAGATTGGCTCAGTGATTAGAAACGACCTCGTTTTAATCGACGGCGACCATTTTTTTCAGACGTGTGACGACATAACTGTGTTCGGCCGGTATTTGTACTGCTGCCAAATATGATTCCAATGTTTACTTGATATATAAGTCGTGCGACACAGCGCCGCCATTCTACTAGCTAGAAGGTTACGCGGGCCGCCATGTGGCCTCGCCAAATGTATAAATATTATATATATATATAAATATAAATAAAATTATATTATATAAATAAAAAAATAGAATACAACTAAAATATTATTTATATAATATATATATATATTATATATATAAGGAGAAATAAATACATGAATAGATATATAGAAAGATATAGTTAGATAGGTAGGGAGATGAACACAAACACACACACACACACACACACACACACACACACACACACATCACACACACACACACATGCACACACACACACACGCACACACTCACACACACACACGCGCGCGCGCGCGCGCACGCGCACGCACGCACGCACGCACACACATACACACACGTACGCACGCACGCACGCACATACACACACACACACACACACATACATATATATATATATATGTTATGTATATATATATATATATATATTATATACGCTGTTACGTAATGGAAGGTCTCTCACGGATGGATAGAAAGGGAATCACGTGAATTACGTTTACGAGGTTAAAATCTCACGGCAAACAAACACGTCCGTGAATGATAAATGATGACGATTACGTCGCGTGTGCCCCAAAAATGGTGCCTACATGAAAATGGCCCCGTTTGGCCAAACATTGAAATATCACTACTGGGCAGTACAGGCTACTTTATCTGACACTGAATTATAAACCACGATTTCCTACCTATAAGCACATGCAGAAATGACAGATGTGAAACTACTGGCGGTTCTTGTACTACTACTACGGTACGAAGCTTTGATCGCTTGCGCTGCCGGCGATGACGGTGCAGTTTCTGCAGCAACCACGTGGAACGTCAACGTTACCATGTACTGTGAACCAGACCTTGGTTATAATGCTAGCGAACTAGGAGAAATATCTACACAGTGGTTTCGTAATGTTTCAAATTTTGCTAGCAGTGCCACCGACACATACCAACACATTGATGATAACAGGCACGTTACAGGCGAATTCCGCATTATATTATTAGAAGTACAAATAAACGACGATGATATAGAGTTTTACCGTCAGCAGAGGCTTCTTAGAACTTGGTTATGATACTATAGTAAACTTAATTACCTCCGCCAAGGAGTTGGCAGGAGGTTATGTTTTCATCGGCGTGTGTTTGTTGGTTTGTGTACAGCCTAACTAAAAAACTTATGCACGGATTGTCATAAAATTTTCAGGATAGGTCAGAAATGGGCTAGATTAGAATTGATTACATTTTGGTGGTGATCCGAATTCAATTAATTAATTAATTAATTAATTAATTAATTTTTTACGATAGGTCAGAAATGGGGTAACTTAGAATTGATTACATTTTGGTCGTGATCCGGACCCAATTAATTATTTATTTAATTAATTAATTAATTAATTTTTTTACAGTGACAGAATTGAGCTGCCTTGGCGGAGGTCTGTAATCTCCGAGTGCTCTAGTTGTGCTTTACAATCATTAGAAAGCGGCTAAGTGTTTGCGGTGTGGCGCAACATATAGGTACTAGAACGCTACACGTGTACAGGTTTAAAATACAACGCAGAGACAACAGTTTCTACAAACATCATCATTATAAAATATTAACATATGAAGGACACAGACTAACGCATAAGAAATAGTTTTCCAGTTAACGTAGAACGAGTAGGTCACAGTTAGCACACAAACCCACACAGACCGAGACATACGCTGTGCCTGTGCAAATAATATAGGGGCGTGGGTATGAATAGAAGCTATAAGCCATAGAATGTTATCTACACCCTACTATTGAACGTTACTGATTAGTAGGAATATGTTCATTCGTAGCCAAGTGTAGCGGTGGTTACATGTCGCTCGGGTTCTAGAGAGGGCAAGGTCTAGAGTTAAAATATTTCCATACATACTTTTACTCGATTTCTGACATGCGCAGTTATAGAATGGCGGGATAGTCTATGACTAATAGACATATTGGACCCAAATCGCAACCGCTAAAAGATAATGCTGAAGATGACATAGGATATAACAAACCTTAGAATGCCCACATCTCGCGCCGCCATTTTTATCGCTAGGCAGGTACGTGTCCTTCGCTTCAATGGTTTGTAGTGATTTTCGCGCCGCTGGAAACCTACCAAGGAAGGCAACTCCTGTTTAGGACATACTGGAGGTTACTGTTTAGGTTACGAACTACTTGCCTTGGTTATTTTTTACATGAGCGTCAGACTTTTAGAAGACATTAGGTAAGCCGTGAACAGACAGCCAAGGCCGGTCGTCACTTATATCATGTCGATCGAATTCTAATCTAGGAAACATGAACACACGCATTGACGCCTGGTCATGCTGTAACAGAAGACGATGAGACGGAGTTCCACTAAAGCTTCACTGTACCAATGTCAGTCTGTGACTAATAGACATTAGACCCAAATCGAAACAAATCGAAAGATAATGCTGAAGATTACATAAGATATGACAAACATTAGAGTGCGTCTCGATCTCGCGCCGCCATCTTTGACAACTATAGAGAGATAACAGAGAGACTAACAACAACGCAACCAGAAGCCGGTCAATACCTTTGCGAACTTTTAGGAATTGAAGTAACAATGGCAGCAGTGAAGCTGGTTCCGGTACTTGTACTGTGCGCAGCTTTAGTGACGGTGAGGACGCAGTTTCTGCAGCAACCACGTGACACGGAGGTAGTCGAAGGCGCTGACGTCACAGTAAGCTGCGAATTGGACCTCCTTTATGAAGGGGGTGGTGAAGGGCCAATATCGGCTGAGTGGTATCGTGACAGTGTCTATATATTGATCACGAAGGAAGACAGGTACTCTTACATCGACGACAACAAGTACGATACGGGTGATTTCAGCATTAAACTATCTAACTTAAACGTGGAGAAAGATGACGCAGAGTTTCACTGTCAATGGAATCAGAACGAGGTAGCACCTGATGACAAACCTTTATCTAATAAGGGTCATCTAACTGTGCTAGTGTTACCACAGTCGGTTATTATGTCTCTTATAGACAGCTCTTCATCACCGGATGAAACGCTCCAGTTCTCTTGTGTATCGGACAGCAGTAATCCAGCAGCTAGCGTCACCTGGTCGCTGAATGGTGATGATATCACCGCTGACTCCAGTCAAACAGAGGAAGCTGGTTCAAGAACAAACACGTTTACAGCAAACAGCATCCTGAGTCACGCGTTCTTGCCGATTGATAACGACAAAGAACTTCAATGCAATGTATTTATCCATGTCGACTTACCTGTAGAGAGAATAACCGAGACCATGTACCTGAGAGACACTGTGACCATCAGCAGCAGCAGCAACCCTACTGGAAATGACGTCTTCTTACCGGAGACAGAGAAACTGACGTTAAGGTGCAATGCTGATGGCTATCCAGAACCATCTTACACGTGGTTTCACGACGACCAGGTGATACAAGCTGCAAGCGACAAACTGGTGATAGAACGAGTCGAGTTTAAACACAGAGGATTGTACGCGTGTGAAGCAACTAGTGTGTTTGGGGAATACATGTCGATTAACAATATGAATGTGACCGTGTTAGTGCCAGCAACGTACGTCACCATGGAAATAAACGGCAATGCTGTAGCAGACACAGAAATAATACATGTAGGACCGCATGAAGCTAGCTGCACTACAGACAAAAGCTTTCCGGGAGGAACAGTAACATGGAAACTTGGTGATACATCTGTAGACGGAGCTAATACTTCACATGTTAGTAAGGTCGATGGAACTATAACGACGTACAGCACACTCACGCGTACGTTTACCGCTGATGATCACGACAAAATACTTGCCTGTCATGTTGACATCCACGAATCATTCCAGTCATTGTCAGTCGATGTTCGGCTCAATGTACAGTACATGGAGCAGGTCAAAGTAAGCGGTGACAGTCAGGCAGGCGTTATGACAGTCAAGCACGGCAGTGCGCTTTGGCTGCTGTGTAACGCAGACGGAAACCCAGAGCCAAGTTATTCATGGCTTCACAACAAATCACTAGTTCCTGCAGAAGTGAACCGCGTTTACGAAAGGGAACAGGTTAGTTTCGTAGATGCTGGTGACTACGCATGCTCAGCCGCTAACATTGTAGGAGTTGTGAACTCTGCTAATTCAATGTCTGTAGTCGTCGTTGCTCCCCAACCAAATACATCGAATACGGCCCTCATTGTCGGACTGGTCATCGCTGCTTTGGTTTTGATCATCTTAATCATCGTCATCATCGGCGTCTGCGCGAAGAGGAAGCATGACTCAGAGTCCCCTACTTCTTCGGCCGAGATCGCCACAAATTCCCACGATAACGCTGGCATGAATGTTTGGACAACGGACATATCCCACAGTGTATCGGAGCAGTATGAGTCGGGCCAGGGGGAAAAAACCTACACCCAACCTCACACAACCTACCTACGACCGCAGTACGAGCCCAGTCTCGAAGAGAGCTACAACTACCCCGGCAGAATAGACGGCGTGCTACCGCAGTATGCGCAGGAATCGTGCGACCAACTTGACAGATTGCACAGTGTGCCGCGTCAGTATGACTCCGGTTACATTGATATCTTACCTGAAGACTCTTACAGTCAGCGTGCCGCGCCAATAGATGGCGCTGGTTGGATGAGAGGAAGCGACGACGACGCTGCCTATGTTAATCTTCCCATAAGAACGTTAGGTTATAATCAGGGCCCTGGTAACGATTCTAACTCTACGCATTCATCACCCAGTCGCTGGATTCCCAACAGCGACTCGTATCGTTATAGTGGACAGACACGGACCACTTCAGGTGAGAGTAGCTTTAACACTCTTGTCTGAACATTAATCAAAAAGCACTAGGGTGACTTCTATGGCGTTATGACGAAACCTCTATAAAAACTATATAATATTAAAGTAGAAAATGGACTATAGGAGTCAGTTGCCTGAACATTTCACAACAGCGCACGATGGTTTCGTTGCATTAACACGAGAAATGCAATACTATGTGATCGCGTCGCGTTATATTAAAACACAATTCCGGATTCGTTAAGGTAGGGGCACACGAGCGATTTTTATCGCCCGATCGCCGCGAATTTGAAAATCGCTCGAAAAATTCGCCCGTGTGCCCGTTCACGTCGACGCCGATTTTAATCGCCCGCACGAATCGCCCGTATCCAAAATGTTAGATATTT